TCAGAAAATTCTGCAAGAATAAATTGTAGTAACTGTGTAAAGTTTTTTATCAAAAAAAGGGAAAGCGTTGAAAAGACAACAATAACAGATTGAAGGTAATGAAATGAGACGACCCATCAGAAAACAGAAAAGTTCCAACGGAAATTACTGAGGAAAGCGGATATCGTAAAAATATGGTGATTCGATACGGTTGCAGCTACCATTTCTGCTTGAAGAGAATTAAATATCTTCTGTTGTCTGCGGGTATCTTGATAATAAAGTTGACTGCAATTTTCTTCAAATTGCTAGTTTATTCCCCAGCCGGGTACAGTATAAATTTAAATTGTCTTCTAACCTGTAATGTATTTATTAACAACTTAGGAGAGAGTGAAACACCTATTGTCAATCTGAAACAAAGAATAAAATTTATTTTTGCTGCTTTCAAATATTCCTCAGTATGTTACCGTACCAGTATATAAATCACCTGAATAATTATGAAAACTGTTAAAAGAGTTGTTTTCAGAAAGTCGTTTTATATCATATCTAAAAGCAAAAGCGAACACAAATGTATCAAACAACAGTCATATAATTTTCTATCTTAATTTATTTTAAATAAACATCTAATTTTTGAATATAATACACTTGTGCATTTACTTAATGAATAAAATTGTATTCTTAATACCTAGATTATATAAATAGTAGAAATAGGGCTTTGTACTATTCTAATCCGTGCCGAACTAACGTATTAATTAGGTCTCCAGTGATTCTTATGTGCAATAATTTTAATTTAGTCAGCAACCTTTGTGACTCCTTCAAATTTATTTCACAGAGTATTATTTATTGTTTAGAGTACTAGTTTTTGTTATAACTATTACTTTGTACTTTGTACTTACAATTAATTATTATATATTGTAATATTGTGATATTGATATATAATGACCGGCATTCAGGCAAGACTTCTATCATTACGGGTACTAAGACCAAGTAATGATATGCATTGATTAGATTAACAAAACAACTTTCGAGATTCTTGAATTACAGCATACAAATTAGTCTGCTATTATTCTCTAATCTCACCCCATCCCCAAAAGTCTAGCGTACCTACCGACCATTTATCCGCGCATCACTTGGAAAATGACCTACACTACTCTGACCTACTGGTGCTAATCTAATCTGACTGACATGATCAGACTGTTCAAGAAACTTACGAACAATATGACATGTTCCTAACAAAACAGCTTATTGAATTTTGACAATTATTGAATCATTCAAATGTAAAGACTTTAAATTCTCAACTAAGCTATTTGGAACTACACCTACATTAGAGATAACTAGGGGTAGAATTGAAATTTTTTTTAAGATTCAACATGGATTTCATTTCTATCGATAATTGTAGATATTTTGAAATCTTGGTGTGGTATGTTTGAATAATGTTGTTTGTGTTAGGAACAGCAATGTCAATGAGAATGGCTTCGTTCGTGTGTTTTTTGATAAGTATGATGTCTGGTCTGTTAGCTGTAATGTTTAAGTCTGTAAGTATTGTGCGACTCCAGTATAATTTGTAATTGTTATTTTCAAGGAACGGCGATGGAATGTAAGTGTAATAGGGTGTCGTATCTTCGATTAAGTTCATAAGTGTTGCTAATTCTTTGTGGATGATTTTGGCGACGTTGTCGTGTCTAGCTTTGTAGTCAGTTTGTGCTAGGATGCTGCAGGAAGAGATTATGTGCTGGATCGTTTCAGGTTTTGCTTTGCAGAGGCGACAGCAGTCGTTTCTTATGTTCGGATCTTTGATGATGTATTTTCTGTAATTCTTGGTATTGATTACTTGGTCTTGAATAGCAAACACAAATCCTTTTGTTTCGGCATACAAACTTGATTTTTTCAACCAAATCAATGACATCTTCTTATTGACATGATTTTCTTCTAAATCTTTGTAGAATTTTCCATGTAGTTGTTTTTGTTTTAGCCCACTTGTTATTTTGTCTATTGTGTGGGGGGTGTGGATTTCTTCGGTGTTCGACAGATTTAAGGGTGTGTGGTTCAAATCTGCTCTTGTGATGGTGCGAAACATTTCATTTCTTTCCGCTCGTTTCAGGAAATACTTCTTCAAATCTGAGATTTGTCTCTGATATAAGTTTTCTAAGTTCTGGAAACCCCTTCCTCCATTCTGTCTTGGTAATGAGAATCTTTCAATCGACGATTTTGGATGATGCCTTCTATACTGTGTGAAGATTTTCCTTGTTGCGATGTTTAAATTTTCAAGATCAGTTTTGGACCATTTAATGAATCCAAAAGAATATGTTAGCAGTGGAACGCAGAATGTATTTACTGCTTTCATTAAATTTTTTCCATTTAACTGTGTCTTCAATATTAATTTTAATCTCGCTAGGTATTGATCTTTCAACTGTCTTTTCGTTTTGGTATGATTGATGTGGGAGGATTGACAGAAACCCAGATATTTGTATGTATCGTTTCGTTCTTGGGCTTCGATTATTTCCTTATTTTGGGTTATATGTGGTACTTGGTGTTGGACGCCTTTTCTGATTGCTTGGGTCTTACATTTCTCAATACCAAAAGATATACCAATATCACCGGAAAATTGTTCAGTCAGATTTAATAGGTTTGTTAACTGATTTTGTGTACTTGCATATATTTTTATGTCATCCATATACAGCAAGTGACTTATTCTGTTTTCTCTTTGTTTGTTAATACTTATATTGAACCCATAATTGCAGCTGTTCAGGATATCGGAGAGGGGATTTATTGCTAAGCAGAACCATAACGGGCTAAGAGAATCGCCTTGAAAAATTCCTCTTCGGATCATTATTGGGTCTGACTGAATTGTTTGTTCATTTAAGGTTATTTGGAGGGTGGTCTTCCAAAATTCCATGGAACATTTGAGAAAAGTGCAGATTTTAGTATCAATTTTGTATAATTCCAGAATTTTGCATAGCCAGGAATGAGGGACAGAATCGTAAGCTTTCTTATAATCAATAAAAGCAGTATATATGTTTCGGTTTTCTTTTCTAGCTTGTTCACAGATGATGGAATCTATGATTAATTGCTCTTTGCAACCAAAGGATCCTTTAATACATCCTTTCTGTTCTTCATTAATGATGTCAGAGTTAAAACAGTGTTGATAGATTTTTTGTGTAATGCATGAGGTTAATATTTTATACATTGTCGGTAAACATGTGATAGGTCTGTATTTTGATGGGTTTTTTGTGTCGCGTTATCTTTAGGTTTTAGGTATGTTACACCATGACATAAGAATGTTGGAAAGGAGGATGGGTCAAGAAGGAACTGATTTAAGTGATGTAGTAAATGAATATGTACACAATTTAAGTTTTTTATCCAAAAATTATGGATTTTGTCTGGTCCTGGTAATTTCCAGTTGTGTGTCTTATTGATGGTATTTATTAATTCGGCAAGTGTTATCTGATGATCATTCATTGGTGTAACTGTGGATAGTTTATGGGATATATGAGGAATCCATTTGGCAGATTGGTTAAATTCAAATTCTTGAGACCAAAATGTTGTTACATCCTGTGAACTTGGAAGTTCACCAAATAATTGAGTTTTGCTTGAATTAGTTAAATGTTGATAGAATAGTTTTTCGTTATTTAAAAATTTAGTGTTATGAATTTTCCTGAGATGTGATTGTTTGTATCTTTTAAGTCGTTTGCTATATAAGGGAAGTTTTTATAATAGGGTATCTTTAATTTGGGATAGTGTTGTATTGTACTCATCGTAATCAGTTTGATTAAAATTATTGTTGGTCAGTATCGAATGCATACATGTCATGATACGTGGTGTTTTAACTCCTCTAAGGTACTGTGTTATTTAACCTAATTGTTTTCTAATGTTATTAATTTTATAATTTAACCGTGTTTCCGAATGAGGGGTGGAAGGTATACGATTGGTGTTTGTATTTATTATGTTATCTTTACATGTGTTAATTTGAATACAAGTTAAAGCTGCACAGTAGATAATAATTGTATGAAGTTTTTCAAAAGAGATCGAGTTTGTGAGATATTTTGGTAAAATGATGGAGTTCATTATTTCTACAATTGCCAGAAACTTTTTAGAATAACACTGGCGGGGAAGTGAATATCTATCATTTGGTTTTAATTTAGAACATGTTTCGAAAGTTAATTTAAATTGGTCTTCAATTTCATTTTGGAAATTAATGTGAAATTTAAAATTGTTGTTTACAGTTTTGATTAATGTGTCTTCGTTGTTGTAGTACGTGTTTTGTAGATTATATGTGATGTTAATTTGGTTTTGGATTGTTCTTGATAAATTGTTAAGTGATTTGTCAGTTAATGTCTGGGATCTGTTTGATAGTGTGTTGGTAATTTGTGTTATGGTTGTGATCTTATTTTGAGGTGTTTTGTTTAATAAATCTTTAGTAAATGTGTCAGTCGGTGTCTCTGGTGTATTTGATAGACTACTGTTACTACTTTGTGGTATAATTGGGATCTTATTTTGACCAAAGGTCACTTTTTTTTTAATTATTAATATTAGTATTGTGTAAAAATTATTTGAGATTGACCTTAAGAGCGCAGAATCATAAAAAAAAAATGAAAATTTAAATTAACTTACACTTTTGTTAAGTCACAATGTTTAAAGAGTTTCTATATTTAAAGGTTTATGATCACTAGTGTTGGTTAAATCGATTTTTTAAACCACAATTTAAAATAAAGTTTCAAAGAATTATTTCAGAGAACTTTTTTTTTTAAACAAAGAAATGTTCTGAAACTGTTTCAAAATGTCTTCGCAGTATATTAGACTCGACAGAAATCTTTACATTGTGAAGATACTTAAGTCCAAAGCATAACTTTTCATGTTAAAAGTATATACTCTTAACATGAAATAACAATATTGTTACTTTCGGTCCCTAACAACATCTAATAGAGGAATGTATTATTTGTCCGATAAGATTAGTAATTGGTAAAGGTTACTGCTCCGAGATAAACAAACAATATTGAACATTCATATACAAATTTTAACAAGTGTATAAATCACACATTTATTTATATTTTTTCTTACAAATGTTACTTTATTATTAATTAAATTTTTAATGAACTACGAATGAGAGAAGAGTACCTAATTTTATAAATTATTTCTGCACATATCCAAATGTATTCCATGTTCGTATATGATCCATATATTTCTCAATACAGGGGTACCAATTAGCTCCAGTGTAGTTTATTTTGGGTAGTTTTCCTTCATAGTCTGCAGGTAAATGTGATGGATCCAGATGTTTATGTAAACTGGACATTTTGCTCCCGTGGAAGAAAATCTGTGTGTGAAAAAGTTTATCCATGATAAAGACATAAATAGTGCGGTGCACTTACTCTTTTATGTAGTTTTTCTCTGATAAAAGGTTTGAAAATTGCCCAAACCATCTTGAAAATAAATGGTTGTTTGACCATGTGAACTTCTTTAAACCTCATTGGCATAGCATCTTGTATAAAACCGAGCAACTTCATGCTAAAAGCTGGAGTAAAAGATGATATTTGTCTCATACCTAAGTTATCAAAATCCATTATAACTACAACACCGCGAACCTGAGTTTCGGGTTCCAACACTGCAGCTTCATGTATAAGGTAGAAAAGACGAAATAACTGATCTGATGTAACTTTGGAAGTATCCCATGAACCTAAAAAGTTAATCAAGTTGAGTAAGCATGTTTTACCTTTCCTAAAAATGTTTTATCTAATTTCGTGAACTTGTATTTTTGCCATTTCTAAAATAACAAATTAAAAATAAAAATTTTACATCGTTTTTAAAATGATCGATTGTTATTTGTTATATAAATTAATTCTATCGCTCATCGATTATTATAAGCTGCTAATTATAAAACAAACTATTAAAAAACTATTAACGTAACCAAAAGAAAAAGGAAAATATTGTATAAAATATTAAACAAAAAGTTACAATAACGTTGGTCTATTGTCTTACCTCCCACATTAACCAGCAGAACTCTTCTTCCCTTATGGTCTCTGTTCGCAAGAACATTTACGACATTGTGATTAATGAACACTTCTTTTTCATCTTCAGGCATTAAGTTTTCTAGAGAGTCCTTATACTTTTTTTTGAATTCGCTAATACGTTTCATCTAAAATAAAAGTGAAGTTTGTTATGCATGTGTGAGTCCTTAACGTACATGTACGAGGAAGCATTTTTGTTCACTCAGTGTGGACGACCCTCTATCTTATAAAGCCATCCACACAGAGATCTCTTATATTTAGCCCCGTTGTCCTGCACCTTACAGACAAAGGCATAAGCATCCATAGCCAAGGTGCTTTGCATTACTCGCAGTGATTGGAACAATTATTTTTAAAAAGTAATGCATTACAATTACTCATTAGTCAGTAACAATAGTAATTCATTCAATCCCAAATTACTTTTTTTAAAACGAATTCATTACAATTACTTTTTGCACTTTGAAAAATTTGATGAAGATACAATTTTAGATATTTGTTGGATGGATCCAAAGGGTCAAGAAAAAATGTGTTAGAATGTAAAAGCCAGTGAGTGATGTATTTTACTAACGCATTTGTTAAATATTTACATGAGTAAATAAAATAAAACAAATAAATACTTCGCGAAAGAGGACTATATTCATAATTTAAATTCAATAATAACTGATATTCAAAATTTTCATCAGCTAAAGCATGAGGTTTTGTCTTAAAAACATCCGCGCCAACACTAAACATCCTTTCCACTGCGGCGCTAGATGGAATTGTTGTGTTATATTTTATAAACTTTGATTCAGTAGATCTAATTGTCTCCTTTTATTCTTTACACAATTGTCAAAATGAATCTGAGGGAGTTTGATTATCTAAAGAAAATTTGAAAAAATCTTCTAAATTTACAAGTAGACCGCTTCGACTAATTTTTAGATCTAATTGTTCTTCTAGGGCTATAATGGCATTGGTTTCGTGATCTTTACTCTTTACCCCACATACTCGTAATAGCTGGAGTATTTAATTGCCGCGTATTATATAACATCGAACTAACAGTTTTTTCACTAGTATAGGGCAATAGACTTATAGTTACTTATATTACATATTTTACCAAAAATTGAAGAGCCGATTCTTTTACGCCAAATTTAATTCCACTCTAGCTACAAATAAAAGTTCGATGCCAACTGCAACAACTTTTAAACAAAAATTTGTATTGCTGGGAGATTTCAAAATATCTTATCCGCTACGTGTAAATCTATGGTAAATATTAGTCCTCCGATAATATTTACCTGCGGACGCAATCTTTAATAAAAAGGATGTTCCTAAATACTTAGAAAGGGGCTAGAAGATAATGTAAACTTAAAAGTCTGTCTTTAATTGCCTCTTACTGGGCGTTGTAACTTACAGATTAAATTTAGAAAACCTGTTATAGATTTGAGTGGACCAGAAAAATAGCTAAAGTTTTTTTGACCACAAATTTTAAATATTCTGCCCATGTTTACACAATTATTTATTAAAATATTTTATTTCTGTAAAGCACAATGGATTTTTTAATACAATTTCTACTAATCTACATTTTTGAAAATTTAAAATTTGATCCATAAATAGCGAAAACCAGATAATCTCATATTCATCACAATTTTAACACGTTGTAGTTTTTTTTGACAACAAAATTTAAAAAACGGAAAAGCAGTATGGGTAGGGTTTTATACGCTCATTTCAACGATGTGAAGTTTATTACAATCTGATGGATACTTTTGGGAAAAACTTGGGCAGAAGTTTATATGTATTTCCCTGTGCTGGAATATGCTTTAGCTCACCCTTAAAATGATGAAGAGCTTATGTATATGACAGGGGCGGCTGGTCAGGGGCGGCAGGGTCGGCCACGCCGTACCAGTCATTTTAAAATACTTAGTAAGCGTTGAAATTAGAAAATAAAAAAAGAAATAAAGTTTGAATGTACGTTAGGATAGATCATATATATTAAAAATATATTTTATTATATTGTAGGTACAAAATAAAGCATTTGTTGCTAATTTTAAATGCTGATAAACACGGTTTGCCGGCGAGATTTCGGCACGCCGTATCCAGGAATGCATTATGCTCGATGTTTCGACTTCGTAGCAGCTTACGATTTCATCGTTCTCTTTGTCTAGAACACTGTAGTAGACAAAGACCTGGCGGAACGTATGTTGTGCCAGGTCCGGCGAAATCCTCCTTCGCCGTACCCAGCAACGCGAATTTAGTTTTTAAAACGCTTAATATTTAAGATAGCTAACCAAATTACAAAACAATAACGGCTTCGATGTTCTTCAGTGCATACTATTTTTTTTTTAATAATAATTGTCGATTTAATACATTTTCCTGTGTATGAATAATAAACGAAAAAAATTACATTAAATTATCTAAAATTTTATTTTTCGTACATAACTTAGCTACAACATAAATGCGCTTTTTCTGTATTTTTAGCATCTAAGCGTTTTCAGATATTTCAGAAACGAATTTAAAGTTTTAAATCATTTTAATTTTTCAATTATTTAATTAATTTATTTGACAATTTGTCATATACCTACATTAAAAAAAAAATAAATGTAAATGAAGACAGTTAAGAGTTGGTACTTTTATTATTACTTTTTTTTATATTTTTTAACTGCATGTCATTATTTAATTATTATTATTTAATTGTGGATGTCCGGGGTCGGCAAGCCGTATAGCCGCCGGTCGACGCGGAACTCAGTAAAAATAATGTTTTCGGTGGTTCTCAATTAATGATAAAGCAGAACAAGTAGAATTAAGGATTAATAGTATTTGGAATCAAACTGACATTGTCAATTTCCTATAAAAAATTATTTTAACAGGTCGAAACATTTGAGATGTTTTGTACATCCTGGCACGTAAAATGTCAGTGGTTAATGAGTAGCAGCCATACATTACGAAAATATATAACACCAAGGTGTAGACTCAAAATATTTGGCCGACCCGAAATTTTGACCCACCAGCCGCCACTGGTATATTATGGTTACCTGGTTCTTAACAAATTCTGTTGTAAACTCGTTTTAGATTTTAAGTCCCTACTGGGTTAGTCTTCTGTTTGTGGGGACGAGCCAGATAAACCAGCAGGTCAGGTAAACGATTCGTAGAGGAAAACAAAACAACATTTTAGAGTACTTGGGTTAAAATTTATTGCAAAAAGTAATTGTAAAAGTGACTGAATTACTCAAAAAAATAATTCGTTACAATTACTCATGACTTGAAAAGGAATTGAATTACAGTAATGAATTACTTGTAATTGAATTACTTCCAACCACTGATTATTATTCGAGAATGAAACCAACGACGCACGGATTAATAGTTTAATACTAATAAGAATGACTCTATTCGTGTCTTCAGGTCAAGTGGTAAATCAAATAAACCAAATAATGAAGTTTGCTACATCTGAAGTAATTGCATGCAAAAGCAATAAATTATAGGACTTACCAATTCATAAGCACTTTTGGCATAAAACTTGCATGGTCTTAAGAAAATTATTAGTGTTTCATCATCATCTTTGAAGTAAATTGTTGGATCATTCTTCAGGAGTTCTCTAAGTTCTTCTAATGCTTTTTCTACAATTTCAGGTGTTTCTCGCAATTCTTCTTCAGCTAGTTTTTTTGTTTCTTCATCAAGCGGCGAAGTATCGAGTTCAAAGGATTGACTCATCTAAATAACAAAAAAAAAAATAAAATAATAAAATAATAATTAATTAGTTATAAAAACTACAAATTTACTAAGTTGCAGGTAATTAATTCTTACCTTTAATGTTTAAAGTATTATATCCGTGTGTTCTTCGGAATATTACTGTAGACAATGTTCGATAACGTTTAAACTGAAACCTTATAGAAAAGTTTTATCTCGGTTGAATACAAAGTTCAGATTTCAAGCTGATTATTTTAAAATAACAACTATTGGTTTATCAGCGATTACGTGTCCAAGGCGGGATCTATCATGAAAACATGACACTATGAACAATTTTTTGTTTTAAAATGTCGTTGAATCACTAACACTGTTGTCTTCACGTGATATATCTTAATGTTGTTAAAAAGTAATTTTTAATCTAATTTCACTGCCGTCTTTATGTGAGGTACATTAATATGTATATTTATATAGCAGTATAATTTAAAGTTTTTTCATTGATAATATGATTGTTAAAAAATACATTTTTCTAGTAAAGCGCAATTCAAACTAAACGCAGAAATAAAAGAAGGTGCCCAAAAATGTGTGGAATTAATATCTTAATTAATTTTAGTTCATTTAATTTTAAAGAAAATAATAATTAGCTACTGAATGGTGCATTAAAAAATTAAAATTATTACAATTATGTATACGTACGCCAGATATCATGTTAAATACAAAGATGAATCATCATATACATATATAAATATCATCAAATATAATAATAGAAAAGTACACCAAGTTAATTAATTGCTTGCAATGTAATGCAATACAAATAATCGAGACTTCACTGTTTCTTTTTTTTAGTAAATAACATCCACTTTTTCTTTTTAAATCGACGAACAGATTTTTTAATCGCGTTAAATTTTTTTTTACTTTTTCAGTGGTGGAATACTTGAGACTTGATATTTAACTTATTTGTTTTAATACTTCAAAAAATGTTGAGATAATTCAATAACATAACAGTACACAGAAATAAAGTCAAAAGTAGTTTATCCGTCAAGTCTTTTTCAGGAAACAGAAAAATAACATCTACATCCCCGAAAACTTTTCCAAAGAGTTTGCACTTATAGTGTGTTTATGAAACTTAGACTGCTATGGACAATCCAACACCTAATTCACATTTATGAGTCTTCATAACTCACTCTATGTAAAACTATCCAGTGATGAACCCATCGTAGAACATAAATGGGATATTGCAAAGGATCCAGACAGTTATGTTTAACTTCACACCTGGTGCCGTAAGAGTAAAGTACAAGTTCCACCTATTCAAACCTTTGAACGGAATGAACATCGAAAATAGGTCGAAGATGAGATATAATGAAATACAGACGGCACTGACGATGTATGTGTTCGACCAAGCAATTAGTGGGTACAGTACTGCAAGTGTAGATTAAAGAAAAACACGGCAAACTTCACTGTTTTGTTGCCGACACTGTCTTGTTCATAGAAAAAGTACAGTGACAAAATAAGATAACTTTTCTAAATTAGGCAGTTTGAATTTGAGGAATCTTTAAATCCTATCACTGTCACTGATTTTTTGGTATGCAGAAATACGTATTCGTATAAATGTGAAAATTATTTATATAAATTATATTCTAAACACCATACGAGTAAAGTACTGCTTTAGTACATTCACGCCTTTAGTCGTAGATACCGTTGAATGTTTTAGAGCAAAAAAGGTTATCTACTCGTTGCCCCCAGTGCTCGGTCAAACATGACAACATGAATCATCAATTTCCCAGTCAAGGTCGACTTTCATTGATGTGAACGAAATTTTAAATAGGGCAAACAAAAACTGTTCTTTATCAGTTATTTCAGATATCCAGTTATTTTAATAAAAGTGTAAGAAATATGTCATTTTTCTTTCGTTTTTTTAAGTCAATTAAATCATCAGATTTGTGATATCTTTGGAACTTTTATGGTCGTCTATTTTTACTTCCCGAGCCTAAGCTAAGAAGTATCGTAATCGAGTCCATTGGTGACTGGCTACTTGTATGTTTTCTCGACGTTTCATGATCCCTAGGATAAGAAAATATAGGTCTTTCGTTTCCGTCTGTCTGTCTGCTGTCTGTGGTCTGTCGCCTGCGTCTGCTGTGTGCCATCCAGTGTTGGCCAGTATCTAGATACTTGTATCTAAAAAAAGTATCTAGATACATTTTTGGGTATCTAGTATCTGTATCTAGATACAACCGAATTTAAGCACAAAATATCTGTATCTAGATACAAAATTAATGGTGCAGATACAGATACATTTTTTTATTTCACTTTTTTTTCAGTAGTTATTAATTGAGTTATACTAGTAGTAATTTTTGATACTTCACGTTGGTGATTTTGGTCACATAAACAAAAATAGAGGTAAGAGGTCCACTAATAGTGTTCTGTCACGGAAATTTTCATATTTTAAATACCATCATTTCCTACATTGTAGCCTTCAGTACTTATACATCTTTAAATATAATCCTGAGAGGTAATAAATCTAAGCCATGGTAAGATGGTATTTTAAAAACCGTAAACCACAATTCACTATTCACTGCGTTTTACCCTTATCCGGGGCAATGCATTTTATCTGTGTATGTACGAGAGCAACCCGGGTCCGGTAGGCCCGCTGGTTGTATTTGTATTATTAAATAAGAGTAATTTTAATAGAAACAATATTTCTTTAAGGTATGTTATTATTTTTAGAAAATAATAATTGCGTGTTACATAATGATTAATTTTTCAGTTAGCACAAATTAGTTCTGTAATCGAATACTCGAATGTTCAATACATACATTTCTCTCGTATAAATCGCATATTTGTTACTGTTTTATACCTTTATTTTTCAAACAAATGGAGCATCTTTTCCTGTTGTCATTTTTTCACTTTTTCATTGTTGGACCTAACGCGAGGCGGGCTTGGCAGGTCCGTTTGGCTCTAGAATATGCCGATTATGTTTAAGTGTAAATCTTGGGCAATAAAATTAATATTTTTGCAACCCTCGGTAGAATAATTTATCGAGATATATTCTCAGAAATCGTGAAAGGAGATTACAATTAAATGAGTTTCAACAAAAATCTGAAAATTTAAAGTTGCACTCTGGTGATTCCGGCCAGATAGGCAGCCTTTGATCCATCCTATAAGGGGTTTAAATACCTTTCTAAGAAATTGTACTTATTTTGCCTTATTAAACGGAACCAGCAATTCTTCCTAAAATGGATATACCTGCCGCACCGGAATAGACGATTACCGGACATGGTCATAAAAACATCATAAGCCGATATTGAAGAATAATAATTTATGACAGGTTGCCGACAACAGACCTTCTGCACAGATTAATCATTTCCCGTATTCTTTTGAAATATTAATTTTAATGCTGGAGATAATTATTAGATATAATACTCAAATACTGTAGTATGGGAATAAAAACAAAAAAAATATTCATTTTAAGCGTACATAATAAATATTGCACAATTTGCGACACATCAAAGAGCGAAGCGATGGCCTATTTGCAGGAAAAAAGAAAAGATTTTTCAGTCTTGAATAACCATGCTACAGTAAAATGTTTATTTTTTAAATTTAATACCACAATCCCTTCTTCTGCACCTGTGGAACGGGTGTTTAGTAGCGGAAACCAAATTCTGACACCAAGAAGAAATAATTTAGGTAACAATACGTTCGAAATGTTGTTAATTTTAAAAAATTCATTAAACAATACATAAAAAGATACATAAACGTGTTTTCAGTTATTTTATTCGCCAAAGCTTCAAAAAGTATCTTGTATCTGTATCTAGATACATTTAGAAAAAATCGAAAACAATCTGTATCTCGATACTTTTATCTTCCATATATCTGTATCTGCATCTAGATACTTTTAAAAGTAACTGTCCCCAACACTGGTGCCATCTAATCGCGTCTGTGTCGATTTTTGTTAGACATTTTCTAAACTAACGGATCGCTTGTTGTCAGATTTTGTATGTATATTAGGAATATCGTGTAGATGGTAAAACGGTAACCAAAATTTGTCTGATCATCCCCACTAACGATGATATGACGCCATCTCCAACTTTTATAATTAGTAAATTGTATTTAAATTTTATAAAATAACATTCTCCACTTGTAGTTTATGAATATGGATTAAATTTTTCCCACAGACATACAGACTTTGTAGAAAAAACAAAATTGTATAACAAAATTTTAGATTTTAACTTTGAAATTATTATTATTATTATTATTATTATTATTATTCTTATATATTCGACAGGGCGAACCCCATTTATGGAATATATTTCTGTTTAATTCAAACCGATTCAAACTTTAATTTCTTAATGGTACACATATTTGTATTAAAAATGTCTACCTGACGGTTAAGCCAGTTACCTATGTAACACAATCTGTACACGGGTGAAAACTTCAGAACATTCGTTCTAGGTGTTGGTAACGCAAATAACTCCGGTTTTCTAGATATAAGTAATCTAGGACTTCCATTAAAACATATTCTTCTCAATATGTCATGACAATCTAATCTGTTATTAACAACCTTATAAATAGTGAGTGCCAAAAATAATTTGTTACGGTTTTCTAATGCTGTCATAGAATATCTCTCCAAAAGTATAATTTGTGGAAATCCAACTGGAGGATACGTTCTCTCCTCTCTAAAATACAGATATTTAAGGAATCTACGCTGCACCTTTTCAATATTGTTTATATGTATATTATAGTAAGGGAACCAGACCACATTTGCGTATTCCATTTTGGTTCTTACCAGTGCAATAAAAAGGGAAATTAACGTATTTGTATTCACAAAATCCTTTGAATTTCTGAGTATGTAGCCAAGGGACCTAAAGCACGCAGAGACTATATAATCGAAGTGAGCAATAAAAGACAATTTACTGTCAAACTTAACTCCTAAGTCATGAACAATGTTTGGTCTCGAGACTAACTCACCGAATATGCTGTAATCAAAATAGATAGAATTTTTCATTTTAGAGAAAGACATAACGTAGCATTTTGTTTTATTGACTGGCAATTCATTAACTTTGCACCAATTTAAGACTTGATTTAGGTTGCCATGTAACTTCACACAATCTGCCGTTGACTTCACTTTTGTGAATATTTTTAAATCGTCCGCATATAGTAAATAATCAACATTCAGGATGTGACTTATATCATTGATAAACACGGAAAACAGAAG